ATAAATTCGTTTTTATCCCTTCTACTTGAAATTATTGGAAGTCTCATTTCTCCATTTTATAAAATCAGAACGCCATCTACACTGATCCCACGTATGTTGCCAACACACAGAATCAACAACCGCAACACGAGTTTCTTAAAAATATATCCCCTCCCACAATCTGGAATTTTGTATTCTGAGAATAAAAAAAAATCATTCTAGATGTTGTGGAGGAAGTGAGTGGGGCTGTATTCGGGTGGCGAGAGGATTTAGTCGACGGCGGAAACAATTCAAATTTCAAGTAACTCTAGCCTCTGTACTATTCATTATCATCTCTCAGTGCAATTGAAAAGAATTTCACAACAATTTCGAGTTTATCTGCTTATCACAGGCATTATCCCCTCCTTTCCCACAGTTTCTTATTATCACCCTTCAATATTCAACATCTTCAAGTTAAATATAATTGTATAATATTTATCAAGAGATTACTGGAAATTAAAATGGAGCTGAAATACACGACTCAGAATTACGATTGGGGAATGAAGGGGATGACTAGCTGTGTGGCAAGATTACTTAAGGGATCGAGCCCGGATGCCGAAGTGGAGGATGAAAAAACTTACTCTGAACTTTGGATGGGGACTCACCAGAATGGGCCTTCTTTCATCAAAGAAACTGGCAAGAGTCTGAGGGAATTCGTCGCAGAAAATAAAGAAGTCTTGGGAGAAGCTGTTAGGAAGAGCTTCGGGGATGATCTACCGTTCCTTTTTAAGGTCCTGTCGGTGCGAAAGGCTCTGTCCCTTCAGGCCCATCCTGATAAAGTAAGAATTCATCATCCTAAGATTTTTTATTTATCCCCACCTTATTTGCAAACCAGTAAATGGATAAATTATATTTTAATCATATCGTGAAGTGAATACAATTTCACTGTACCCCATATTTTTCTAGTTTTTCTCAGAATTTTTTAGTAGCAAAATTTCCACTCGCTGTGGATGCACATTATTTATAATATTCTTGGAAATTGTTCGGGACAATAATAACGAACATCATCTGCAAACAAATGTAAGTGCCAAAAATTTTGAGGTCGAGAAACAGGGGATCCAGCCAAACTTCCGGCCTTGAGCAGTTTGCGAACTTGACAATTTTTATTTCATGCAATGGAAAGTAGCTGACGGTTGATTTCACGTATATTTCTACCCGAAATAAAAATAAATCTATCAAACATTGGTTGTATCAATCAATCGTTAAAGAATGCGGCAAAAATCAATTGATAACAGATATGAAAAAAAAAAATTTTACATTTCCAGGAAAGGGCGGAGGCTCTCCACAAACTCTACCCTGAAATCTATAAAGATCCGAATCACAAACCTGAAATGCCGATAGCATTGACGCCCTTCGAGGCCCTGTGCGGCTTCCGTCCATTCTCCGAGATCCAGAATTTCTTGAAAACAATCCCTGAGCTTTCCACAGTGATCGGGGAAGAGACAACGAAGAATTTAATCGAGTCTGACGAGGCAAACTCGAAGGCTCATCTACAAAAGTGCCTGAATGGACTGCTCACTCATCCACCTGACTCCACTGCCGAGAAGTTGAAGAGTTTTCTTGATAGATTATCACAGATGGGTATGAGCTCAACTAATCGATACGAAAAAAATTCTCACCGGCTCTTCCCTCGCATTAAGATATTTATAATGTTCTTTTCTGATGTCTGTCTTTTTCCAGACGAATCTGGTAGAGATGCACTGAATGCCAGAGTTATTGAGAAACTGTACGGAGATTTTCCAGGAGACGTTGGCTGTTTTGGACTTTATTTCTTCAACTACGTCATTCTTCAACCTGGGGAGGCACTTTATCTCGGTGCTAATGAACCCCATGCCTATATATCCGGTGGTAAGTTCGAATAAATTATAAAATGGTGATTTCCCTTTAATTGTTAATGTTTCTGATTGAATGGTTGAAATTTTCTTATCAATTATCCACCAAGAATGTGCTATATTTTCACCCGAAACCAATGTAGAACGCGAAATAGTAATTTCTTCATCTGAAAAATTTACCTTTTGATTATTTTTTAAATCTCAGACTGCATGGAGATCATGTCTTGTTCGGATAACGTAGTCAGAGCTGGATTGACTCCAAAATTGAAGGATGTCCCCACATTGATCGAGATGTTGACTTACAATTGTGAGCCCGCCGAATCAAAAAAGTACAAAGCAATCAAAGAGGACGATTTCACGGAAGTTTTCAGACCGCCAATTAAAGATTTCGCTGTCGCGAAGATCGAAGTAAATCATCTCTTCTAGATGGAATTTCTGGTATTTCCAGCAATGAAGCGAATTGATTCATGTTTAATATTTTTACAGCTCCCTCCTGGCACCCCATCATACCAACTGCCTCCACGAACTTCAGCTGGAATATTAATAATAATCGAAGGCTCAGTGGAATTGAACTCTCAAGTCTACGCCTCAGGCTCTGTCCTATTCATCAAAGCAAATGATCAATTGAACTTGAATATTCTGACGAAGGGCGGTAGCACTCTCATGTTCGAGGGCTTCGCCAACGTTTGACGAAGTCAGAAACAAAACATTCAGTCATAATCCATAAAAAATACGTTTATCCAATTTTTAATTAATCAGCTAAGTAAAGTAAAAAAATTCTATTAACATCACGAGCTTCCATTTTCCCATGAGAAAAATCCGAAGAGATGGTGAGGAAGATGGAATACTAGCTGGAGTCGTCTGATGCCTCCTTCGGTGCCTCGGGGGGCTT